CGTATTCTTTTGAATGGTCTCGATTTTCTATGGATGTTTTTTCTCTCCCAATTTTCCTATTTCTGTTGCTGCTTAACAATTCTGCATGCTCTTGCCTCTTGTATGTTATACAGGATCAGAATATGTTTTCCAGTCAAAAGATGCTGTGGACATACTGACAAGAGTGTGAGTTCTGACATGATACAGAAGCTAATTCAGCTACATAGAAGCTAATTCAGCTGCCATAGATACTCATCTCAGATACTTCGTAGAATGAGTTGGGAGATAGGACAGTATTTTGTTGAAAAATGATTTGAGGACATAATGCCCACCCATCATGAAGTTTCCGTCATAGCTGTGCTTGCACTGTTTCCTCAGCTCTTCTCCTAGTGTGTACTGAGAAGTGCAAAAGCAGATGATATATAAACCAGTATTTCAATGCTATGGGGATCTAGAGTAAACTGGAATCACAGGTAGCCAGGTGAAGAAAGTAAAGATGGAGATAAATTTGATCCACGGATTGTGGGGAGAAAACAGCTTAAAGCATACCTTCTGGCCACTTCCTTTCTGCCAAGTTTCTCTTGAACAAAAGCAGCCCAGTCTCTCCCGTTTTATGAGAGCTTCACCCTACACAGAAGCCATGTGCAGTAGGAGCAGGTGCCTCCCTAGTGACTCTCCCTGGCCAGGCGTGCAGGATAAATCAGCCTCTGCACTGCATCTTAAGGTGCACTCTTGCATCTTGTATGTTATTCAAGATCAAAATATGTTATCCAGTCAAAAGATGCTATAGATACATCGACAGGAGTGTAGTTCTGTCGTGATAGAGACTGGGATCAAATCCTGGCTTTCTCTCCATCAGGTGCATGGCCTTACACAAATATCTTAAAACCCCTGAGCCCCAGTTTTCTCCACTGTAGACTGTGATTAATAGCCAACATGTCAGGTTTGGAGGGTGATTAGAAGTCAGGAATAACAGCTGATTGTTTCTGACAGTGCCTGGGCTGCGGGATGGGAGCAGAGGAAGTGGGTATAGAGGAGAACATCACTGTTCTTCCTCACTGGCAAGAAACACCCAAGGTGCCCAGAGCAGGAGGAGGCTTGTCCTGTTGGTTCAGAGACTTAAATTCCTTAACAGACACACTTCAAACATGCCACCTTCTGCTGCACACATCATGCCCTGGGTTAGAAATTCCTACCTTTTAGTGTCCAAACAATGAGTCCCAAGCTGCGGCTTATTCCCAATACTGACACAAAAATCTTCAGATATGGATTTGTGGTGTTGTTTTGATTTTTAACATTCATTTTTATAAGGGCCTATTCTGAGGGAGGAGTACATTGCCACAGGGCCTGGCAGAGACCCCCACCACACAGGGTCCCAGGGGGAGCTCCCAGCCCACCCGAGGCTCACCTCGCATCTAGTATGTCCTGACCTTCTCCTCCCATCGCCCCTCATGGGTGGTCTTCTAGGCTCCGGGTATCTCCAGGGGACTCGGATAACAGACCATTTTGTACCCTGGTCTTGGATGTCATGCACATGTCAACAGGACCTGTTAGAAAGCCTCACCCCACAGTATGAAAACTGTATGTTTTGATCTAGCAATCGCTTGGAAAATCAAGTTATTGTGTCACATTGATGTTTTTAAAAAATTAGAATAGCATAGAATGCTTCGGAAAACATTAGAGTGCTAAGCAAGGAACAGGAGTAGTCTATTTCATAAAGCTTTTGTTTTGTTTGTGTGTTTAGGTAAACTGGGTCAAAATCCAAAATATATTTCTTACTGCAGTGGATCTTCATCAAAATAGTTTAAAAGCCATTTTTAAACTCAGTCTTACCACAGAAGAAGAATAGACAAGGGAACTCAGGTCCTGTGACCAGGCCAGAGGACTGGTATCTAGATGGAAGGAGGGCAGCAGGGAAGGCCTGCCGTGGTGCCCCATGGCCACAGAGAACACTGCTCCCTCCCTGTATGGAGGCCTCTCCCCTCTCTAAGGCACAAAAGCCATCAGATTTTAAAGTCCATAAAGCATCTACAAATGACTGATAGTATTCACTCCTATGCTTGGGAGACAGAAAAATGAGAAAGGTACTGTTTCAGCTTCAAGCTCACCAAGTTCACTGCAGTCCACCAGGGTGACACGCATTTTAACAAACTGCAGTAGGATGTGAGGAATGCTAAAACAGAGGTGTGTTCAGACAATCCTGGAGAAGAGATGAGGCTAATTCTATAGGGTGGTCTATTCATTTCCTAGGACCACCATAGCAAAGCACCACAAACGGGGTGGCTTCTGTCGTTTAGAGCTACAGGTCTCACAGTTCTGGGGGCCAGAACCCTGAGATCAAGGTGTCTGCATGGCATTCTCCCTGCGTCTCTGTGTCCTCACATGGCCATCTTATGAAAACTCCAGTCCTATGGAATCAGGGGCCCACCCGACTCCAGCGTTACCTCATCTTAACTAATTACACCTGCAGTGACCCAATTTCTAACCGAGGTCACCTTCTGTGGTACTGGGGGTTAGGACTTCCACATTTACATTTGGAGGAGATACAGTTCAACTCATAGCAGGTAGTCAAGTGAAAGAATGGGGTTTCCCTAAACCTGGAACATCAGCAGGGTTTTCTCCCAAAGCATGGGGTGATGGCATTCCAGGGTGAAGGAGTCCTCCTGACCCCCTGTCCCTGCAGTGCACAAAGACCCAGGCAGCCATGGGCCACCCCACCAGCCAGGGTGCACCCTGGCTATACCCATCATTTCACAGGCAGGCCCATCATACAGCTGTTTCTGTCAGAGCCATGGGGAAGGGGAGCAGCTTTGCTAAAGACTGTTAAGAGCCCCCTGCACCCAACATTTCAGAGTCTGTGAGCACAGGAGGAAGCACCTGGTACGTGCCAGGAACAACTACGTGCAGGAGCCTGCTTCTCATATTATCATTTCCATCACTACCTGACAGAAGAACAGACCCAGGGAGGTGAACTTCCCTTGACAAAGGCACACCTCTGGTAAACAGCAGAACTAAAATTCACATCTTGGTCTGACCGACTTCAGTGCAGTATCCTTTCAAAACTCTTTCCTGACTGCACTGTGGTAAGAGGCATCTCCGAAGGAGAACCCTACATTACATCAGGCCCAGGTGCCTCTTCACAGCCATTCAAAGGTCTAGAGCTGGTCACTCTGCTTCTATTCCCTCCCTCTATCTTCAGAGAGCTCAACAAGGAAGGAAGGTAGGTCCTATAAGAGAGCGCTCCATCTGCAGGGAAACGTAGTGCCTAGAGGAAACCTAGCCAATGGCTAGAACCCCAGAATATTCAATCTGGAAAGGAGTCTAGAAAGCACTGCAACCCCCTCTGTCATCAGAGGCTGCTGACCCACAGATCTACAGCTGGCTGACCACAGAGTTAGCACCAGGACCCACGACTAGGACCCTTTTGACATGCTTTAGAGTTAAAATGATGATTTAGACTGCTCCCACCTGGTATAGCATGCAGACAGTTGAAACCAATTGAGTTAGGCCAAGCTCTAGAGATTTGATAGTGGGCCAATCAGTCATTCAACATTAATGGAGCTTACACCACCTACAGGACACTCTGGGGAGAAAGCAAGAAAGCTGGAGACATGCCTGCTTCAAACATCTCATCAGTTCACCAAGAAAATGATTGATGGAAGTATACAACAAAACAGCCTCAACCTATAGGCATTAGAAATAAATAAAAACAGCCTGAGTTTGGCAGCTCACACCTGTAAACCCAGCATTTTGGGAGACCTAAGCGGGAGGACTGCTTGAGGTCAGGAATTTGAGACCAGCCTGAGCAACAAAGGAAGACTCCTGTCTCTGCCAAAAAAAAACAAGCTTTTAAAATTAGCCAGATGTGGTGGCAGGTGCATGTATTCCCAGCTAGTTGGGAAGCTGAGATGGGAAGATCACTTGAGCCCAGGAGTTTGAGGTTGCAGTGAGCTATGATTGTGCCACTGCACTCCAGCCTGGGCAACAGAGGACCCTGTCTCTAAATAAAAACAAGTCTGAGGAAATGAAGGAAAGAGTAACTGAATGAATTGCTGGCTGATAATTAAACGTAGGTGACCTAGCACCTACAGGCAGGTCACCGAGCCTCAGTTTGGCCTTCTGTGATACTGAAGGAGTTCCTCCCCACCTTCTGTACTGGCTTTATTGGGATGCTCAAGAAAAGATGATATATACAAAACACTGCAATAAGCATAAACAATGAGATAAATGCAAGTGATTTCTTTCACTCATTTCTGGCTTATGACTGCCTGGAGGTCCCCAGTGCCCAAAGCCATCCGGGAATCTCCTAAAAAACAAAGACTCTCTCTGTGGCTATACCTGAGTCACCACAGTGCGTGGGTCCGAGGGACAGATGGAGGAGTCTTATGGTTGTCAGGCTTGAAGGGGCTAAGCGCCTCAACATTTGAAAACATCCAGTCATATGATGATTGTATTTTTCACCAGAATTTTTAGATGTGATAATAATTAAAAAAAAAAAAACACCTCACAATTTGTTGAAAAAATTTGCTGTCATCCAAATGCCAGGCAAACATTATTGACAGGTATGCAATGCAAATACAGGGCCGCCTGACACCAAAGCCCACGTCTTCCCCACCGAGCTGCTCTGTGGACACTATTACCTGCTCCTTCTTACTTCCTGGATATTAAAAATAAACATGGATCAAGAAACTACCAATCAGGCACTATGCTTATTACCTGGGTGACAAAATAATCTGTATACCAAACCCTGTGACACACAATGTACCTATATAACAAACCTGCATGTGTACCCCTGACCAAAAATAAAAGTTAATAATAAATAAATGAGTAATAAACATGGGTGTAGCCACCCTTAGCCAGGCTGGGGAGATGGTCACGTAAAGTGTCTGAGCACTATTGCGCTGTGGCTCAGAATGTGTCAGTTTCATTAGGCCACACACAGGTGGGAAGAAGCTTTCAAACAGTTGTCCAAGGCTCTTGGAAGAGCCCGCATCTAGCTTGTACTGCTCAGCAGCACTTACCTTTATTTCTTTGGGAGTAGACCGGAGAGGGGTCTTTTTCCCTCCTTTGGAGGATTTGGAGGAGGTTGAGGAGGTGCCCTGAGCGTGGCGGGGCTTCAGATCACTGAAGCTGCTGAGATACTTTTTGCGTAAGGCCAGCAGCTCCTGCAGGTACTGCAGGCAGTCCTGGGTGCGGGAGTACATCCACGCCCGGTCCTCCTCCTGCCGCAGGTAGTACAGGCTGGTGTCCATGCTGCTGCTGCTTTTGTACTTCTTTAAGGACTCACTGAATTTCTCCCCGTGGTCCCCGACCACATACATGGAGCTGCTTCGAATTAGCTTCACCGTGGGGCTGGCTCCTTCGTAGAAGGGGCTCTCAGCCGCCACCTTTCTCTGCGGGCTGGAGTTAAAGATGGAGTGGATCTTTCTGAACATGGTGCTCGATTTCTTTCTGTGGGCACCTTCCAGCTGCCTGTGCTGCCGCCACCTGATCTAGCTGTGGGGAGAGGAGCCGACATCCAGGCCTGGCACCATCTGCCTTCCAGGAGGCCTCTGATCTCTGGGATCCCAGGGAGCACAGGCTTGGTCAGGTGGGTGACCTGCACATCTCCCATGGGGGATATTTACATCCTATAACCAAGACGCCAGAAACAACCCGAAGATAGAAGGTAGTGCACTGTGGTGTCAAAAACGAGTGCCCAGGCTGGCTTTATGAAGCATTTGGTACAAATACCTTCTGTGCTCTCCCGTGGAAGGCTGCAGCTGGAGGGAGAGAGTGCCTGCTCAGTTATTTTCTTTCCTTTTCACTCTCCATCGCTGGCCATGGGCTCACTCAGTTTGAGTTGATCTTGGTGTGGATTTTTACATTTCCACCTGGGTTGAGTTGGCGCCGGTTGTGAATTCTCTGAATCCAAAATAAAATTCTACTTAGCAGGGACAGCCCTTACCCAAAAAATGTGTGTTGCTCAGGGTAAAATCTAGTACCCAAAGATGGGCCAGGGTGGACACAGCCAGGGCCTTGGCAGGAGCTTGCAGATCCCCCGATAAGCCGGGCTCTGGGCAGGCATCTGAGTGTCCTGGAGGAGCCTCGCCCCATGGTAACGGGACCTCACAGCCGTTACCGGATAGCAGCCCATTATGGGGCAGGAGGAGGATTCAGATATCCGGACCACGACTTTTTGCACAAAAGCATCAGTGAGCTGAAGGGTGGCCACATTCATGGGGCAGACACATTCTTCAGCCTGAGCACATTTTTAACTTAGACTGGTTAAGATCAGACATAAACTATTTTTTCAAGAGGGTTGTACGAATCTATTAGAATTCCAGAGATGTCCTCTGTAGCATTTTGCTCAGGCAGATGCTAAACATTATTTTGTTGATAATGGTGGTCTGTTTCTCTCCTTGACTGCAATCAGAGAGTTGAAGCCTGCACCGGTCTCTAGGTCAGGCATTTTCTTAAGCTGGGTGGGTGTTAGATAAACTATGAGCCCCCGGAAATTGTATGTAAAGCATGACTGAATGAATGTATTAGCACAGTTTATTTTTGTTGTTTGCTCTGTCTGTGGTGTGTGTTTATGTGGGGGTGTGTGTGTGTTTTAAGAGAAAGAAAGGATTCATGGTTTTATCAGATATTCAGAGGTCTGTGATGCAAATAAAAACATTTTTAAATATTTCTATCCTACATTAGAACAATAACCATACTTTTCTGTATGTGACTGTAAAATATCATTACAAATGTTTTCCTATTGAGGGCATCCTCTGCCTGTGGCATTATTCCAGGCACTGGGGCGGCACAGCCCCTCACACGTGCAGCATTTCAGCTTTACAAACCCACTGTCCGGCTTCCAGCCCGGTATGCTGGTCCTACTACCCCCTGACCTCAATGAACTCATGAAGTCACTGAGTTCCCAGGTCTCCAGAGGGAGTCTCTCTCTGACCCATTTCTCTGACTTGACTCAGGCACAATATCGAAGCACCCAGGATGGACAAGTGCTGACTGAACTTTTTCTCAGAGGTATCCAGAGGCTAAGACTACACAGCCTTTCTCAGTAGCTTGTGCCAGTGGGTTTACAATTATGCTTATTCTACATGGATTTAGAGAGTTTAAATCAATAAAGATGAAGTCTACCTTCATATCCAGAACGTCACAAGCGACCTAACCTCTTGGTCACAAAGGGAATAAAACTGTCTTCCTCTATGTTCTCTTGTCTCCACTCCTACCTCCTGCTGGATCCTTCCCAAGGGTCAGACCTAGAAAGAAAATTGAGAGAAAATTCTACTGACATCAACATTTCATGAACCCGAACTGGACAGGACATTAAGCAGCAGTCATGACCCAGCAGCTGACTCCCATCAGTCACCTCTGGTGCCAGTCCTGTCCTGAAGCCACCACCCTCCTGGAGCTCCTATTGAAGTGGGTGAGGGGAAAGACTGCTTTCTCCCTACAAAACACTCGTCACCTCTGCTGGTGGAGGAAATTCATCCAGAATAGTGACTCTCTCTAATATATCTTATTTAGATTTTCTCATGGCCTCAGCTATAAGAAGCGGGTATGAAATCACCTTGTGGTTTTGCAAAGTGTATTTCATGTGTGTGTGTGTGTTTTAAGTAGAGGCAGAGTCTTGCTATGTTGCCCAGCCTGGTCTTGAACTCCTGGCCTCAGCAATCCTCCTGCCTCAGCCTCCGAAAGTGCTGGATTATAGGAGTAAGCCACCAGACCTAGCCACAAAGTGTATCTCAAGAAAACTACAAATTCCCATCAAACCCAAGTCAGGCCCCCAGGCTTGGTTCTTTTTACACCTCATGGAATGTGGACAAACATCTAAGCAGGGAGAGAAAAGAGCCTGTATCCTCTCCCACAGCCTAGCCCCTCACATCAGCCCCACTATAGACTGTGTGCTCCCCACTGAGCTCACACCAGACTTCGTCTTCCTGGTGGCATCAGAACCTTAAGGCTTGGCCAGAGAATCTGCATAAAGTGACTTGTGTAACAAAACTTGCTTTACTCCAGAATTTCTCGAATGTAAAGGGCAGAGCCCAGAGTGATGGCTGAGCAGTCCAGAGGCTTTGCTGTGTAGCAATGCTGGGCAGGGGCAGATACAGGCAGCAGGTGTAGAAGGGCTGACTGAGCCTCTGCCTGCTCCTAGACGAGCCTGGTCTTGTAATGTTGCTCAGGACTGGAAGGGCAGGCCAGGGTGGCAGGAGAGAATGAGAGTATGGGCCTCACTCCGAGTTTGAATCACAGCTCGACTACCTACCAGCTTAAGGTTACTCAAACCCTCTGAACTCTGGATCTCTTACCTCCAAAACTAGATACCACCTATTTCATAGGGCTGCTGTAATGATTAAATGAGATACTATATCCTTTGACCTACTTCTCATTCTTCCCTGTACCCCCACCCTGCCTCTGGTAAATATCATTTTATTCTCTATCTCTGTGTATTTGACTTTTTTTTTTTTTTTTTTTTAGGATTCCACATATAGTGAAATCATACAGAATTTTTATTTGGCCGGGCGCGGTGGCTCAAGCCTGTAATCCCAGCACTTTGGGAGGCCGAGGCGGGTGGATCACAAGGTCAAGAGATCGAGACCATCCTGGTCAACATAGTGAAACCCCGTCTCTACTAAAAATACAAAACATTAGCTGGGCATGGTGGTGCGTGCCTGTAATCCCAGCTACTCAGGAGGCTGAGGCAGGAGAATTGCCTGAACCCAGGAGGCGGAGGTTGCGGTGAGCCGAGATCGCGCCATTGCACTCCAGCCTGGGTAACAAGAGCGAAACTCCCTCTCAAAAAAAAAAAAAAAAAGAATTTTTATTTCTGGGTCTGGCTTATTTCATTTATCATAATGTTCTCCAGGCTCACCCATGTTGTGGCGAGTGGCAGAATCTTCTTTTTTAAGGCTAAATAATATTCCACGATAGATAGATGATGGTAGATGGACGACAGACAGGCAGTTTCTTTATCCATTTACCAGTCAGTGAACGCTTCGTTGTTTCCATATCTTGGCTACTGTGACTAATGCTGCAATGTGCAGATATGTAGATGAATAAGTCGAGGACTCTAACATACAACAAGAGGAGTACATCGAATAATAATGTGTTGTATTTGAGATTTTTGCCAAAAGAATGGGTTTTAGGTGTTCTGGTCAGGAAAGGAAGGATAACCATGTGAGATGATAGATACGTTAATTTGCTTCACTGTGGTAACCATTTCACTTTGTATATCAAAAGATCATGTCGTATACCTTAAATATATACAATTAAACAACAAAAAATAAATGAGAGAATAGAAAGCACTTAATATGCATATTTGCTCACTCAAACATAGTAATTGTTACTTATAGGAATATAAAAATATGGTTACTACTACTTCTATTTTACAGCTCCCAGCATATAGCTGCCAAGATATTATTCCAGGCAAATATTTGGAATCCAATTATAATTCAAGAAGCCTTTCATCCTGCAATATTTGTAGAGATCACAGGCTCAAATGGGCCAGCCTCAATAATAATCAGCTAGAAACTGCTAGTTTCACCCCCTACCCTGAATAACGCTAAGTTTCCCTAAGATGTTCAACAATTCCCCTTATAGTGAACAGCATATCTGCTTGCAGGGCACGTGACCAGGCAACCTGTCCCTTTCTGGCATAGATTCAGGTGAGCACTCCATCATTTCCCTCCCTATAGTTGGGGATGTTGCCTTGTATCATGGTATAACCTGGGATAGTGTGTGGGAACATCTCTCGAGGTCATGGCTCCTTTAATTCCACCAGCCTGCAGCTGTACTTCATCTAGAGTCCTGAGTCAAAGAAAACAGTCAGCACCTTGGTCCCTATTGCACATCTAGAAATCCCCTTGGTCACTTCCCTGACAGGAAGGTGACTCTGAGCCAGCCCTTCCCAGAAGGCAGGGAGGTGGGGGAAGGGGGGAACGAAGGAAGAGCATGGAGGAAGAAGGGGACACTGAGAAAAGGAAGAGATCAAATAAATGTGTTGAATATTGAATGAAGGATAAGATTACAAAGTTCGACAACGCGTATCCCGTGTCACAAAGTCCACTGGCACAGGGTATTGGAACATTTAGTTTTCTTGTTGCACTATGAATAGTGAGGAAAGAATTTTCCCTGGAGAATGACTTCCCTGGCTCAGACAGCGAGGCCCTGTGCTTCAGATCTGACAGATGAAACACAGTCTCCTGGGGAAAGAGCAGCTCCAAATCTCCCTGGGCCCTCCACCTATGAAGACCAAAAGCAGAATAACACGTTACACCATCCCTTCTTACGTTAGCATGCTTGGAAACCTCTACAAAATATGCACCTGTAAGCAAACATTAGATCCTCTGAGGTTTACAAAACTGAAAAATGTACTGGTGCCTGAGCACTCAAAGGGTTGGTGATGGGACTATATCCTCCTTTAGAAGGCATGGCCCTAATTTGGGAGCATCGTGTACACTGCTACCCATCAGGCAGAATGGGCACATCTGACTGTGGAAGGCAGGGCAACCTGGCTAAGCCAAGCTTGGATATGAGTAATGAGAGGCTGGGTTGGAGAAAGTTGGAAGGGATGGGCAAAGGTGATGGTAGGCTGTTAAAGGAGGGTCTTAAAGGCCAGGTCAACGACTTTGGGTTCAATTCTACAAAGTACCTGTTATCAGGCCCCTGGGAGCCCAAAAGACATTTTCATTCACTTTAGAAAAAGTGCCCTCTCCAGGCAAAGGCCAGGCAAGCAGTCCCCACTGGCTTCCTTAGCAGCTGCCCTGGTACAGTGTACAACCCATACAACAGTATATGGTGACCCTGACTGATTAAAAAACTTAGAACAGAAGATGGTGTGGCAAATGGAATTGTAAGAATATTCCATTTAGGAAACTTGAGTAGGAGCTTTGTATGATTCAGGAAAGGTTAATGATTTGTTTATCTATCACTATGTACAAACCATCCCAAGACTTTCCTGGCTTAAAACAATGATCATTATATTTGCTCACAA